AAGAGTACTACACCAGTTTTACATATGGCAATTGAAGGCACAGAGAAAGTAAGTGACTGACCAGAGACTATGCTGGACTTCCTTTGAAGAGAAGAGAACTCAGATGGTCATAGTTCCTGTTTGTGTTCAGGATCATACTTCCTCTATTTAGTCATTTTAAAGGACTTCTAAACTCTATGTTCCTTCTAAAAATACAACAGTTTGTATGTTTCTAAATCTGCCAGATCAGGTATGGAAAAGTAATACCATTTTAGGAGTGATTACAATTATAACCTTCTCTTATGGGATTTTAAGAGTTAGGATTCTTTTTTCTCTTCTTCAGAAGATTTCCAAATATATGAAATAGAGCAGAAAATGAGAAGTACAGTGCATAGGCAAAGAACTAAAGATTGTTAACTGAGTTGAATAAAATAACTGCCCTGGACATTGACTTAAATTTCAGTTAAATACAGGTAGAACTTTTCTGAGAATTGAAACACAAAACCATGGCTAACATTTTTCTTATTTGGTGTTTTTAATGTCCCTTTTCACTTGCTCATTTTAGTCTTAATGGGATATCATATTTCAAGGGTCAACCCAAAATCCCTTTTCCTAAAGTACTCTTTCCAATCGTCTTGGTTCCATGATATGTTTCAAACATCTTTTAAAAATAAAATTACTGATTTTTCCTTTTAAGGAACTAACTAGTTTACAAGCTGAAAAATGCACTTGAATTTCTGGGCAGCATCAGATACTTCTAGCAATTGGTCAAATTGTTCCTTCATTAACATTCTTTATGAAGTTCTGCGGCAGGGTATAGTCCAAAACTGTTAAAAACAATAACTTTTGCAGACTTCCAGGTTCCTAATTTTACATTAATTCTGTTTAAAAACAATGGGCCACATTTTTCTGAGATCTTGACTATAGAATAGTAAAAATACATAAACAGCTACATGTGGACTTTTGTTTTTGTCTTCAATGGGAATTATGAGTATAAATTGGAAAGGCCATTTAGTCCAATATAACTTATCCAGTATCAGTTATTTTTCTTGTTCAGTGCTTGTTTGTTTGAAAATAACAGAAACAAATGTTTCAGTTTCTGATTGTTTTCATTTTTTTTTTTGCTGCTGCCTGCTCTGGATGACCAGATATTGACTATTTGTATTATTGTCTACTCCTAAAAATAAAATAATACAATCTGGCAAGTGCATTCTGTGTGTCAAATAGTTTAAGAATGCAAAATAAAACAGTTTTAAAAAAAGAAACCCAACTTATCTGTAGCCAATACTTACAAATATATATAATATTATGTATACATATATTGCTTATGTAATCTACATGGCTAGATAAGGGACCAAAAGAATAACTAGAACAGAATTTCTGTCAACTTAATTTTTAAGGGAAATTTTGGTCACAGTAGCAAATTTCATTTCCAGAAACGGAGAACATGGAGAAAAAGTTTCTTAATATGAAACATCTAAGGAAAGGAAGAGATTGAATTTCAAAGACAATTTTTCACACACCACCAAAAGATGTTCTAAAAAAATTGCAAGGACCTATAACACTTTCAATAAAATTAAGAGCTTAATCTTTTATCTTTTATTCTTTCCTTAGGTTAAATTGATACTGATTTTTAATTTTATTTGATAAGAGGTTACAGACTCAGATTCTAGTGTGTGTGTGTGTGTGTGTGTGTATGTATGTATGTATGTGTATGTATATATAATAAATAAATAAATAAATGTGTGTATGGATGTATGATTCACTTCTGTCGACTACCACCCCGAGGTTGGACCCAGAGAGTGGTAATCGACAGAAATGAATCATCATGGCGCTTCATGTCCAGTGGTGTCCTCCAAGGCTCCGTCCTTGGACCTGTACTCTTTAACGTCTTTATTAACCATGTGGACACTGGTGTCAGAGGTGGACTGGCCAAGTTTGCCGATGACGCCAAACTTTGGGGTACAGTGCCCACACCTGCTCTATAGAGAGCTCCTTATTTAGGCATATTACAAATTTCTAGGACAAATGTTCCCTCTGGGATGTCATGAAAAAGAAATGTTTGCCCTATGTTGTTTCAGTAAGCTAATTACCTATTTCAGAGAATGTGTGTAAAATAGTCTGTTGGGTGAATTTGATATCTTTTATTAGACCAACCCAAATGGTTGGAGAATAGTTATTAAGCAAGCTTTCGGGTTCAAAAAGGAAGAGCACACACCAACTGCTGAAGCTTCCTTAGCCTGACGAAGGGTTTTTGAACCCGAAAGCTTGCTTAATAACTATTCTCCAACCATTTGGGTTGGTCTAATAAAAGATATCAAATTCACCCAAGGAACCTTGTCTGCCTATGTCCTTAGACCAACACGGCTACAACCTAAACCCCTGTAAAATAGTCTGTCACTTTAAAGGAAAACGGTTGCTGTGTTGGAATATTTTATATTAAATGATAAAGTGCATCTTAAAATGCCTAATCAGGGTTTGGTTTTTTTTCTCGCATTTTACCAAAAGTTCTTTAAATTCTTACACACTCATAGGAGTTGTAAAAAGTATCACCTCATTTCTTACTTATCCCAGATGCAATGATTAGGGAACGTACATAAAGTTTATAAATTCTAGTTAATTATATGAAATTACTGTGACATTGTATAATTCATGTGTGTAGTGTGCCATCCATGGCCTGGTAGTATCTTGAACCCCACTCTAAGGAAAGAAGCTACAAATCAACAACAAAAAGGTATTAAACTCCTTGTGACTGGGCTCTCACTGAACCCAACGAGGGCTTTGTTTCACATTGTACTTTGAGCCACACAAATGTTGATTGACTTAGTGCTAGCTTGGAGTTTTGAGCAGTCACATCTTTAGTCTGGAAACCTTCTCTGGCTGTCCCCCACCTGCACAAATATGACTTGCCACTAGAGGTCTGTGAGCAAAGAGGTCCCTTCCAGCCCTATTTTTCTGATTCCCTCTGTTTCGCCCCTCCTTTGCCCGCCACAGCAGCAGCGTTCTAGACTGGGGTGGGGAGGGAGGCACTGGGATCCCTCAACAGCAAGGCTGATAGAATCAACGGGAGGCTGTGCAGAGAGGTTGCTGCCAGCCCAGCTTCTGACCCCCAGCACCCACATGCTGTCTTGCTGTTACACACATCTGAGCACATGTCCCAGTCACACGCATACCTTTGGGCTGTTCCCAGTGCCCAGGCAGCTTCAGCTTCCCTTCCCCCCCCAGCCCCTCCAGAGGCCTGCCCTGCATCCACCCCACCTCTCCTTGGTGCCTCTGGGCTGGGAGTCACAGCTGGAAGTGGCTGTGGGAAGCCAGAGGTGGTGGCAGCGATGGACGTGCAGCTGAAGCCAGGGCTGGGGGTGGCGCTGGCAGCTGGTACAGTTGGATCTTCCCCAAGCTGGCTTCACTCTGCAGATGGGAG